GGGACCGGCGCACGAGAATCGGGGAGGGGCCTGAAGGCCTGCAGGCGCTCGGATGTTTTTTTGGCTCGGCCCTCTATTGTTTGAGTGGCCATGCGCCACCTGGCGCACAGCAGAGCCGCCAGAAGTATGCTATGCTGGAGTGCTTCATCATGGTGAACCTAAGCAAGGGTGGCCTCAGGGGGCCGCGAGAGGCCATGCCCAAGCACACAGGAAAGTGCTGAGGGGCCCCCTGATGGGCCCGCACTGAAGACCAGGACTGGACCTAAGCGCTGCTCTTCGTGTTGCTTTCGTTCTGCCGTTCGTTCTGCTCGGCCTGTTTCCCTGTACCCCCCTGCCAAAACGGCCAAAACAAAGCGCAGCCCGAGTCCAGCCAAAAAGACAGCGCTTCGGCCCAGCCCTGCCGAAGATCGCTCTGGTGGTGGGCCACTCCTGCGCGTGGCCGATGGCGGGCCCAGGGGTCGAGCACCAGAGCAGGCCCCGAGAAGCCCAAGAAGGCCCGCCAAAGAAGAAGGTCCGCCGCGAGAAGACCCCCCTCTCCCACGCCGGTCCTCCTCCGGTCCTCTCCCACGCCGGTCCTCCTCCGGTCCTCTTCCACAAGGGGGGGGTCCCAGGGGGGAGTCCTTTTCCTCCTCCTTTTCCTCCTCCTTATCTCCGCCTCCTCCTCGTCCTCCTCCTCCTCCTCCTCCTCCTCCTCCTCCTCCTCCTCCTCCTCCTCGTCCTCCTCCTCCTCCTCCTCCTCCCCCTCCTGGTCGTCGTCGATGTCTTTCAGGGTCGGCGGCACCGGCCGTCAGGCCTTCACAAGGGCCAATCGGGGAGGGGCTCGAGGAGGTCCGTCGGCGAGTCGAGCCTGCTGCCGGGCGCACGCTACGCCCCCCTTTGGGGCTGGCTGTGCGCCCCTCGCGCCGCAGCCGAGCGCGCAGGCCGCCGCTGCCGCATCGCAGTCCGCGATCGGGTGACCCCACTGGGCCCGCACCAAAACTCCCCCCGCGAAATGGCACTCTTGCACGTCGTTCCTTTCTAATCGTGCTCATTTTTTTAATCGTGCTCGTCTCTGATTGTTCCTGGCCCCCTGGTGGCCAGGAAGAGGCCCAGGATAGAACAAGGTAGACATGAAAGGATCTTGGCCCCCGAAAAATCAAAGATAACTCTCGAAGAATCAGAAGTGATCGCTGTGCGCGTGCAGTCGACCTCCACGCGTCGCGCGCGCGGCGCACGGCGCCGGGGAGGGGGAGGAGGAGGAGGAGGAGGAGGAGGAGGAGGAGGAGGAGGAGGAGGAGGAGGAGGAGGAGGGGCGCCGGAGGCTCGCTGTGCGGGCAAGTCGGGCGCAGACGCAGGCCAGCCGGGGCGGGCGCCGGCCCGCAGAGCGCTGCGGCGGCAGCGGCCGCTCGGAGGGCCGGGCCGGAGGAGGGCAGTGCGCGGTCGACGGGGGCAGGGCCGAGGGCCTGAGCTTCTCTCGGAGGCTGCCCTCGCTACGGTGGTGGAGGGGGCCACATCCCTGACCTTCCAGAGAGCTATTTTTAGCACTGGAAACCTAAAAACCTAAAAAACGAGACGAAACAGCCTAAAACCAAGACGTAAAATAGCTCTGGGATAGGTTTTTACGTCGGGTGCTATTTTTTTGCCCTCCTGGAAGGTCAGGGATGCGAGAGCCCTGCCCCTACCCTCTGCGATTTCCTGAGGGGGCGGGGGGGGGGGTCGCACCGTGGCCCCCGATGCAGACTGCGCGGGGCCTCCTGAGGCCGTGTGCATCACGTGTGCCCCCAGGTCCCCCGCGGGCTGCCCGCGGCGGTGGCGCGGCGGCGGTCCCGCGGCGAGGGGGTGCGGGGGCTCTCCGGGCCACGGCTCCCGGGGCCACGGGGGCCCCCGCGAACGGGCCCTTTCGATAGGCCAAGACGTTCGAACGCCCGAGGCAAATGCGGCCGCGGGTCGAGACTCTCACCTGGGGGGACAACAAACGTGCAGTCCCTGGCACTCGCCCGTGGTGCGTCCTGACCAGAACATCAAGGAGAGTCCAGCCGCGGTGACGAGGACTCTCCAGCACGAGCAGCGGTGTCGGCATACTTTCTGCATCTGATCTCCACTCCTTGTTTCTTTGTCCAGTCGGATTTTCCGAGGTCCTGGCCTGAATTGTCCTGCACTCCGGGTAAAACAGGGCTAGGATCGGGATAAATCGCTCCAGAGCGTTCCGGGCTCTCGGAGCGTTCCGGAACGCTCTGGAGCGGCCGCGGCGCCCAATACATCCTCCAAACCCGCCGATTCTCAGAGATTTCGAGTTATCCCGATCCGATTTTGTCCCGATCTTCGCGTCGTTTTTTTTTGTCCAGTCGGATTTTCCGAGGTCCTGGCCTGAATCGTCCTGCTCTCCGGGGCCCGGAGTGCACGGTTTCCCCCGGGGCCGTAGGCGACCCGAGGAGGAGGAGGAGGAGGAGGAGGAGGAGGAGGAGGAGGAGGAGGAGGAGGAGGAGGAGGAGGAGGAGGAGGAGCCCCATTGGGAGGCTGCGAGAGCTCCGATCCGATTCTGTCCCGATCTTCGCGCCGTTTGATCCGGGGCCCGGAGGGGCCACAGGGGGCCGGGCCGCCGGCCGGGCGGAGCGCCTCCAGGTCGCCGAGGAAGGCGGCGTACACCTGCCCCGCAGCCCGCCCTTCGCGCTCCGCCGTGCCAGCCTTCGGTCGGGCCTGTCCCCCTATAGGAGGAGGAGGAGGAGGAGGAGGAGGAGGAGGAGGAGGAGGAGGAGGACGAGGAGGAGGAGGAGGAGGAGGAGGAGGAGGAGGAGGAGGATGGAGGAGGAGGAGGAGGAGGAGGAGAAGCCTATAAAACCATAAAACTACTAAAAAAAATCCAACATCGCGGGAAACAATAAATACTCCAAGGCATACTCCAACAATGCTCCCAAACGGCTTCAAACTTACTCCAAAGATGAGAGGATTTGGGGCGAAACATTACAATTACTCCACACATCTGTAGCTATAGGGGGGCAGGCCTGTCCCCCTAGAGCTATAGGGGGGGGGAGGTCGGGACAGGCCCCCATATAGCTATGGGGGGCCTGTCCCCCTAATAGCTATAGGGGGACAGTTTTGGTGTTTCCCCCCAAATATTCCTAGGAAGATTTGGGGGGAAACACCAAAACTATTCAAAACAAATCCAACATTGCGAAAACATGTTAAATACTCCAAAGCATACTCCAACAATGCTCCAAAACTGCTTCAAACTTACTCCAAAGATAAGAGGATTTGGGGCGAAACCTTAAAAGTACTCCACACCTTCCCCCAAACGGTGAAAAATAACCCAAAAATCGTCCCCTGACGATTTTTTTACTAGTTTTGAAAGGTTCCTCCTGTAGAGGGACAGGCCCGACTTAATGCTGGCGCTGCTCTTCGTCGGAGGCGGTGCCGCCGCTGTGCTGCTAAGTGTTGCCCTCGCCCCTCAAGGATCGAGGATGCATGAGACACATACTAAAAAAATATTGCTAGAAGACATCTTGGGCCACATTCTTCAACGATCTCCTAGCTTCCTCAGGGCCATCGGGGAATCAGACATGTCTGCGGGGCACTTGCTCGCAGGCCGACTTCTAGGTGTCTACTGTAAACAGGGTCTTAGGTGTTGCTGCTTTTCCTTCCGACATTTGGAAGCCCTTCGCCAAGTCGGTCGAACCGGAGCCACGCGCGAACGAACGCCTCCCGTTCGGCTGATGCAGACGTCGGTCCCGATGTCTATCTGTGCCGAGAGTGGCTCCCATATCTAGGGCGCGTGGGGGTGAGCCGAGCTTGACTCCCCGGAGCTCGCGCCGCTCCTAATGACTACCCACCTAACTACCCCAACCCAACCCGAAAACCCGAATGTCGGGGCGGGTACGGGTTCCATACGCGTTTTCTCAATATCCCCTAACCCTCTCACTGGAAATGGACGGCAAATGGACAGGTTGGGCTGGGGTGGTCTGGTGGGTGGTGAACTAACGTCAAGTCGGGCCTGGCACCACACAGGCGGATGTCGGGCGAAAAATGAACAGTAGCCCAAACAATACACCCCAAATGGCCCACAAATGCTCCAAAGATCGTCCCCAGACAACTTTTGTCACTATCTCGGAATCCTCCTCCTCTGGAGGGACAGGCCCGACGTACCACGGACGCCACGTCGGGCGCGAGCGACCGCCGGCACCCGAGCGGCCCGCAAGAGCGGCGGAAAAAAACGACGGGGCAGGCAGGCGGGCGAGACTCGGCCTGCCCGCCTCGCGGCGACGCAGAGGGGAGGAGGGCCGCGCCTGCCCTGCCCTCGTTCGCAGCACGTGCTCGACGCCCGCCTCTTTGCAGGCAGCGAGCGAGAGGGAGGGGGAAGGAAGGAAACAAGAAGGAGAAGGCCTGCCCGCCTCGCGGCGACGCAGGGGGGAGGAGGGCTGCGCCTGCCCTGCCCTCGTTCGCAGCACGTGCTCGACGCCCGCCTCTTTTCAGGCAGCGAGCGAGGGGGGGGGGAAGGAAACGAGAAGGAGAGGGCCGTCTCAGAAGGCGGCGGGACTTCTCAGAAGCCCTCGCGCCCTCTGGGAGGTCTTCTGCGTCTTCGGGGGAGGCTTAGACAAACTTCGCAGAAGGCCTTGGGACTTCCGAGCCTCCTGACAAGGCCTGCCCCTCCACAACTACGCAATATAATGCTACTCTCCTCTCTCACCTGGTTGCGTCCGGGGAATATCCGGCCCCCCTCCGCGTAGTTTTTTTACAAAGGATTCCCGAGAGTGGGGTTTTCGCTTAGCTATTTGTTCAATGCTGCTCTCGCTGAAGCGCTGGCCACGTTTTCGGGCTACCGCTCGTTCCGAATCGTGCTCCCGCTGGAGCGCTGGCCTCATTTCCACGCTTCCGCTCGTTCTCAATCGTGCTCCCGCTGCATCGCTGGCCTCATTTCCACGCTTTCGCTCGTTCCGAATCGTGCTCCCGCTCTCCCGCTGCAGCGCTGGCGGCATTATTTCCAGCGCCATGCCACGGCATGGTTTTCAGTCCTTCAAAATTGGCCCCAAAATCTAGAAAATGCCCCCCCGAAAGAACCATCGGAAGTGATCACACATTCGCTGTCGATTCGTTGATTTTCTGGTCCGCGGAAGCCCCGCCCCACTTAGGAGCGTCGGCACGCCATGCTATGTCAGGCTACGCGTCCTCATTTCCGCGCTTCCGCGCTGAGTTGTTTTCCAAAATGCTGCTCTGACTGAAACGCTGGCCTCATTTTCGGGCTACCGCTCGTTCCGAACTGTGCTCCCGCTGAAGCGCTGGCCTCATTTCCGCGCTTTCGCTCGTTCCGAATCGTGCTCCCGCTGCAGCGTTGGCGTCATTATTTCCAGCGCCATGCCACGGCATGGTTTGTCGGTCCTTCCACATACGCCCAAAAGTCTAAAAAATACCCCCCTGGAATAATCCACCGGGAGTGATTACACGTTCGGTGTCGATTCGTTGATCCTTTGGGCCGCAGAAGCCCCCCCACTTCGGGGCGTCTCCACGGCATGCCATGTCAAGCTACGCGTCCTCATTTCCGCGCTTCCGCGCTTGCTTTTTTCAAAATGCTGCTCTCGCTGAAGCGCTGGCATCGTTTTCGGGCTACCGCTCGTTCCGAATCGTGCTCCCGCTGCATCGATGGCCTCATTTCCGCGCTTTCGCTCGTTCCGAATCGTACTCCCGCTGCAGCGTGTGCCATGCCACGGCATGGTTTTTGGTCCCTTCCAAATATCTGCATATTCTCTTAAAGGCCTCCCGAAGAAACCATCGGAAGTGATTCCACATTCGGTGTCGATTCGTTGATCCTTTGGGCCGAGAAAGCCCCCCCCCCACCTTGGGGCGTCGCCACGCCATGCTGTCATGCTACGCGTTAATCTTCGACACCATGCTATGCCATGTAATGCTATACCATGCTGCGACACCCGATTCTGCGAATAGAGAGGAGATCTACGCCATGGTAAGGGATGGGGGGGGGGGGTAGGACGTCAGATATGACGCGAGCGCACCTGGCTTGTCACTTCTCCCCCTCGCTCGCCACCGATGTTTAGCCTCAGAACGGCCTTGGTACAAGAAGAACAAATCACATAAACATGAACTTTTGGCGCTCCGCGCGGATTTCTTGGATCCGCGCCGAACCCCCATCCCTGGCGCACGGAGCGCGCCATGAGCGGCGCCGGAGGCGCCGCCGGGGGGCCCAGGCGCGGATCCAAGAAATCCGCGCGGAGCGCCAAAAGTTTCTGCCTACGTATGTGGTTGTTTCTTCTTCGACTTGGGGGGGGGTCGCCCGAACGAGGCGCCGAGCTCCAGACCGAGACGGACGACTCGCCCGCCACCGGCGTTGAGACCGAGACCTGGCTTGCCACTTCTCCCCCTCGCTCGCCACCGACGTTGAGCCTCAGAACGGCCATGGGGGTGGCGCCCTGAACGAGGCCCCGAGCTTCAGACCGAGGCAGGCGACTCCAGCGCCTCCCCGCGCCTCCGTCGGCAAGAGCCGTCGGCGGCCGCCGGAGGAGGAAGATGAGGAGAAGGATGAGGGAGGGAGGGAGGGAGGGAGGGAGGAGGGAGGAGGAGGAGGGTGGGAGGGAGGGAGGGACGGAGGAGGAGGAAGGGAGGAGGAGAGAGGGAGGAAGGAGGGAGGGAGGAGGGAGGAGGGAGGAGGGAGGAATGAGGGAGGATGGAGGAAGAGGGAGGGAGGGAGGGAGGGAGGGAGAGAAGTAGGAGTAGGAGGAGGAGGAGGAGGAGGAGGAGGAGGAGGAATCTTCATGGTGGTCCTCTGCCCTCGCCCTCCGCGTCATGGTGTTGGTCCCGCGAGCTCGGTCGGCGTCCGACGCGGCCAGGCTCCAGCACACACAATGAACTTGTACTGACCTCTTCAATCGAAGAAGAAAAAGCGCCGAAGCGAGAAGGGGGGGGGAGTGAGAAGGGGCGGGCCTTCTCAGAAGGCTCGGAAGTCCCCCAGCCTTCTGAGAAGTCTCCTAAGCCTTCCCCGAAGACGCAGAAAACCTCTCAGAAGGCCAGAGGCCTTCTGAGAAGCCCCGCCGCCTCCTGAAGCCCCGCCGCCTTCTGAGAAGGCCTTCTCCTTCTCGTTTCCCCCCCTCGCTCGCCGCCGAAATTAGAAGAAGAAAAAACGCCATGAACATACATAGGGGAACAACAAATGGCATAAACATAAAAACTCGGAGGTCCGTGCGGATTTCTCGGATCCGCGCTGGACCCCCCCGTAGGCGCCTCTGGCGCCGCCCCTGGCGCGCGGAGCGCGCCAGGGAGGAAGTCCAGCGCCGATCCGAGAAATCCGCGCGGACCTCCGAGTTTTTATGTTTATGCCATTTGTTGTTCCCTTATTGAAGGTGCGACACTCCATGAATACAAGAGCGTCTTGCTGCTGCCGGGATGCTGCCAGTGCTGCACACCTCACCCGTGCACTCTCGGGGATGGACAGACCTCCTTTTAGCAAAACGTGGTTTAGTGAAAACGACCTCGGGCCCAAACCTGGCGGGCGCAAGCCTGGAAAATGACGGCCGCGGCGCCCTCTCGAGAACCGAAAACGGACAATTCACTAATCGACGTGTCAGGGTTGGAGGTCTGTCCACCCCTGACACTCTTCGCCCCAGAGGGGCTGCAAAAGGAGCCCAGAGCGGCGCAGGCAGAAGCCAACGAGGGGGCGGGCCGTCCCGCTCCGGCCTCCCCCCAGGCGAACTTTGCACACGTGGAGGGTGCACGCGCTGGGCAGGTCGGGTGGAATTCGCAGGACCCCCGCGACAGGGGTCGTGGCAAACCTGGACAGTGGCGCGCCAAAACGAGTAGTAGCCGTTGGGCAGAACATGCTTTACCCTTCATCTTCCCTCGAACTGGAATGCTCAGAAAGTCCCGGTTTGCAATGCTCTGATGTCTGGGGCACTGAGCTTCCGGCTCCTTGGACGCGCCTGTTCTCAGCCCCTCTCTTTCCCTCTCTCTTGTCCGGCGCCCCCCCCTCATACACCGAGACCTCCATCTTCCGTCGCGCGATGCTCTCGACCCTGTCCACGTACCCGTCGATGTCGTGGGCGAAGTCCTGCTGCACCTGGGAGGGAAGGAGGGGTGCTGCGCGAGACAGAGGCCGGAGCGGGTCCGGAGGACAAAAAGGTGACCACGAACGGTGGGAGCGTGGACACCTGAAGCTCTCCTTTCGGCAAGGACTACCTTTGATCAAGCTCTGGGCGAACAGTGCCATAGAGTGGATCGATACCACGATTCGCACGTGGCCTCTGGAGGTCCCCAGGGGCTCCCAGATGCCAATCAAGTGTGAACTCCATGGATCTTCTTTCCAGCAGACTCGCTGCTCCGTGGGGGGGGGAGGAAGCTAATGTTCGCTCCGTGCCGCGGCGAAACAAGATCCCCTTGCCAGGGCGCGTTCCCCGGGTCTGCCTCCGATGTGCTCTGTCAGCGCGTGGCCCCCAGACCTCTCCGCACTTCCCAGGGACCGGCATTTCATCCCAGATGGTTGTCTGTGTGTCCAGGAGCCAGAACCGAGGAGGAATCCCATATATTGAAAAAAACACTGAATTGGACGTCTGGGTCAGAGTCAAGATCCAGCAAAAGACACGGACCTGCACTCCTCCGCGAGGTCCCATCCTGGCAAGCTCCTTCCGAAGCCGCGCCCGGCTGTGGCGGCGAGAGACCCTCCAGAGGCGCCAAAAGAAACTCTGAAACGGCGACAACACCGAGAAGGCCCAGGCTTACATCCGCTCCCGCTGCCGCTCCTGCCTCACCGCCCTTGTTGAAGGTGGTAGGTACATGGCACCCCTGCGGCAGAAGACCCGGACCAGCTTTACACAGCCACGATGGGGGGCCACGATAGGGGGGGCAACCCCGATGGGCCACCGAGTTCGGGCGTTTGAAGAAGTGTGTCGCACCCTTACAGACAAGCTGTGTAGGGAAAGTGTACGATATACTCCCGACCAGTACTGTGAAATGCAGTACAACCCAGACGAGTGCAAGCCACGGCAAGATCGATGTGCGTCCTGAGAAGGCCTTCTCCTTCTCGTTTCCCCCCCTCGCTCGCCGCCGAAATCAGAAGAAGAAAAAACGCCATAAACATAAACTGTTGCCGCTCCGCGCGGATTTCGTGGATCTGCGCTGGACCCCCCTCCCTGACGCGCGGAGCGCGCCAGGCACGGCGTCAGAGGTGTCGCCGGGGGGCCCCAGCGCGGATCCAAGAAATCCACGGATCCGAGGAGGAGGAGGGAGGAGGAGGAGGAGGAGGAGGAAATCCGCGCGGAGCGTCCAAAGTGTATGTTTTTATGGCGACTTGTCTCCTTCGAGGCCTGGGCGCACAGCCAGCCACACGCAAGGGGTACCCCTAGCCCGAGGCAAAGAGTGACCCTTGGTGCGCGGCTCAGTCTTAGCGGCGCGCACAACGGGGGTGGGGGGAGGGAGGAAGGCTTCTTAGAACCGAGGACGGCGAGAAGGTCTGGTTCAAGAAGGGTGATCTCGACGGCTGCTGGGGCGCCTCAGGTCTTGCTGGAGTGCCTAAGGTCGGGCTGGGAGGACCTCGAGTCCAGCGAATCCAACCTTGTCCAACGAACCCTTCTGGCAGCCTCCGATAGAAAGAGGCTGCTTCGTAGAAGGCGCCAGCATACGTATTCTATCTACAGACAACGCCCTCGCCTTCCAAGACGCAGGGGTGCCTCTAAGCAGCTTTCCCCCCGCACGCCCCGTGCCCCCCTCTGCGCGCGGCGGATTCCACGGGGGGACGCGGGGCGAATAAGCCGGGCGCGCAAGCCGCTGCCACCGCTTCGCGTCCAGCGCTCGGGAGGCCCCGCTGGGCCCGCGCGAAGGGTCACTCCGGCGAGAGGTCGCTGCTGCGCCTTGCCGACTCGGGACCCCGCCGCCGCTGGGCCCCCGGGCCGTCGCGGACCCATCTGGCGGGGCCGAGGGCGGGGAGCCGCCGAGGGCGGGGAGCCGCCGACGGCGAGGCCCGCTCTGGAGCGCCCCCTTTGCCCACCTGGGCGGCCTGGGATCCCGGCATCCCGGAGACGGCGCCCGACGGACAGCCGCCCCCAACGAACGGCAAAAACACACTGTGGGAACAAAAACACGGTGGGAAAACACACACACAGGCTGTGTTTTTTCCCACAGACTCTTGTGTGTTTTTTCCCACGTGTGTTTTTTTTCCCACAGACGCAACACCGACAGCGGGCCCGGCTCAAAATTGGCAGGACCTGGTTCCGATGTTTGCCCACCTTCTGTCCGGACCCATTCCGGTCGCAACGAATGTCGGGCCCGGAACGTCCGAAGACCTCGAAAGTCCAGACCGAACCCAGACGCAATCCTCGGACCTCAAATCCTCGAGTCCTCGTGACGACGACGAGCGGACAGGCGGCGATCGTGTCAGATGCTCGTCACTCGTTCCACTCATGCGTCGATGCCATGTCGAAAGCCTGTCAAATTGGGTCGAACTTGAATTGAACTTAAATGGAAATTGAGTCGAACTGGAACTGAACTGGAGTCGAAGTAGAGTCGAACAGAACCGTCAGGTGGTCCCCAAGAGGTCTCCCACCCTTACCTCAGACGTCGTGATTTCATGACAACGAAGTCTCGAGTTGATGTTTGACCGTCCCGCGGCCTGGCGAGGGCCCCCGGAGGCAGGCAATTTGACAACCGCCCGTCGTGTGTTTCTAACGACGCGAGGACGACTAGGGCCCGTCTCTGCTTCTTTGCGGGACGACGCCAGCGAGTTGACAACCGCCAGTCGTGTGCTTCTTATGTTTTTTTTCAGCGCATCTTTTGGAGAGGGGGAAGAAGAGGCGAAGGGGGAAGGCACGACGAACACCCTGCCGATCCACTCGTCCATATGTCCACCGCGGGCATCAGGAAAAGAGCCAGAAACGATACGAATCAGCCCTTCAAAACGTATCAGCGCCGGCGGGGAGGGGGGAGGGAGTAGGAGGAGGAGGAGGAGGAGGAGGAGGAGGAGGAGGAGGAGGAGGAGGAGGAGGAGGAGGAGGAGGAGGAGGGAGGAGGAGGAGGAGGAGGAGGGGGAGGGGGAGGAGGAGGAGGAGGAGGAGGAGGAGGAGGAGGAGGAGGAGAGGGGGTCTGTCTCCGCGTCTGTCCTGGGCGACGCTGGCGAGCGGCCTGCGACAGCAGCTCGCTCTCGGCCGTCAGGAGCCGCGCGTCCTCCTGGTGACGCGCCGGCCCGCCCGCGGGCGCCGGGCTTCTCCTCCACCTCGTTCGGACCTGTCTCCTCCCCCTGCTCTGAACAGGGACCGACCGTCCCGGCATTCCTACTGCGGGATGACGATTAATAAAAAACAATGGGGGGAACGATTCAAAAAATAGTTTCCTGCTATTTCTGCACAATTTTCGGACTGGAGGAGAACGATGAAAAGAAATAGTTTTCCAACCCGCGGCCGGTTTTTTCTAATCGTCATCCCGGGCGCCGCCGCGTGAACACGACCCCCGGTCATTTATCAATCGTCATCCTCCATTACATGCCTACCACGATGTCATCGCAGAGCACAAGAACGGTCTAACGACACAGACAATGTTCTCAGAAGGTCGGGCCGACGTATGCAAATAAACAGACCACAGCCAGAAGCCTCAGAATAACATGCCTTGCAAACCACAGAACAAATTCTTAGAACATCCTGCGGTGGGCCTATAGGCAGGCCAGGACGCCTCGCCACTGCTTGACCCCTGCCCCTTCTCCCCTCCTCTGGCAGAGCTGGTCCCTGGTTCTGCCCTGGAGGACGTTACGACCAGACGTCGATGTGGACCTGGCCTTGGCGCCGAGGACCCCGGGGAGGCATAGGAAAACAAGAAGCACGTCGCTGCCCTGATGCGCAACACGCAGCACGTAGCCTACTGATACGGAGCTCAACACGTAGACTGAATGCGTAAGTTTGACGCGATACGTTCGCCAAAACGTAGACCAATACGCTGAACCAACAAGCAATGTATTGACGCAGACGTTTTAAGCGCCGTACGTGTTGCGTCTCAAAACGGGCGCATCGAGGCAGCTTGGGTCGAAACCGCTCGCACCTTCCCTCCTCTTACCCATCCAGCAAACCAAAGGTCTCAGACGTCCCCAGAAATCCCTGAGGGCCCGCAGAGGCCAACGCCAGAAATCTCGACCCTCCCTTCCCATCCTCCCAGACCTCCAGCTTCCTGTTGTTCACTGTACGCGGTCCCCGGGCCTCTTGACCCAGTTCCCGCGAACTGTTTTTGTTGTTCGTACCGGTCTGGTTTCATTTGTTGACCGAGGGCTCGAAAATGCCCCCCCCCCCCCCAGACGGCCGCACATTGCGAAACAACTGGAACAATCTTGCTTCCAGACGGGGACTGCCTGGGCTCTCCTCCATCGTCGACCCCACTCCCTCTTCCTTCCCTCCCTCCCTCGTTTTCTCCCGCTCCTCCTCCTCCTCTCCTCCTTCTCCTTCTCCTCCTCCTCCCCCTCGTCGGGGGAGGTGGCGGTTGGGTTCGCACAGCCGGGGAAGATCCTGGAGCGCGACCATGTGCTGCGAGATGATGCGGTCTTCCCACTGCTGCACCTTGCGTGCGGGGGGAGGGCAGAGAGGGGCTCACACCTCCAGAGCAGAAGATGAGTATCGTTGAACCGATCCCCATCCCCAGCGGCGTTGCCTGGGCCCCACTGGCCGATTTACCCCCCAAGATGGTGATGTAGGTCGTTCTCTTCGGGTTTCGAGGGGTGTATCCCCAACTGGGGTGGTAATTTGGTGGGGGTCTCGAAGGGATTGGAGATGGGGATGGGGATCGGTTAAACGATACCGAGAAGACCGGTTGGAGGTCCACGCGAATTGTTCGCTTCGACGGTGGACCCAAATCCTCACACCCCTCGGCGCGCTCCGCGCGCGAGGGACGGGAGTGGCCGACCCGAGCCGGAAGTTCATGCTTCTAGTCGTCAACTAAAGGGTGTCACACTTCCGGCCAACGGGACGGTGTCACCACGCGACGAGGCATGGTCTCACAGAAGCCACGCGTGGGCGCATGGTTAATCCCACCAGGCCTCTGGGCGTAGGTGGTCTAGAGAGTTTCCTCTTCCCACCCCCTTCTTCCCCTTCGGGGAACCCCTCCCCCCCCCAACCCTTCCCCTGGACCTGGACGGTGGCGGTCGCGAGCGGTCAGAGCGTCCAAGATGGCTCCAACAGGGCCTCTGAGAGCCCAAGATGACCTCCAAGATGGCTCATGATAGCCCGATATGCCTCAAGATGGCTTCCAAAATGCGCCAAGAGGATCCAAGAAGGTTCCAAGACGGCTCGAAGAGGCCTCCGAGACATCCAAGGAGGCCTCCAAGAGGCCAACATCCGTTCAAAACATAAGGACAACCAATGATTTGTTCCTTCTCGCCTTTTCGCTTGCGATGGCCATCCGAGGACTCAAGATGGCCCCAAGATGGCCCAAGAGGGTCCCAAAAGGAACCCAAGAGAGCCTCAAGCCGGCCCCAAGAGGGCCCAAGAGCGCTCCAAGAGCGCCCCCAAGAGGCAACTTTTGGGGATCACGAGGGTAGCGCTAATTGGAGAACCCTCCTTCTTTGATCGATGTCCTCCAGGATGGCCCCAAGAAGCGCCCAGGCCCCAAGAGGCCCCAAGATGGCCTCAAGATGGCCCCAAGAGGCCCCCCAAGAGGCCCCCAGGAGGCCCCCAAGAGGACCCCAAGCGGCCCCAAGAGGCCCCACCCCTGAGGCACCCGAGAGCCCCCCAGGACCGCCAAGAGACCCCCAAGACGTCCCAAGAGGCCTCAAAGAGGAGGAGGAGGGTCAGCGGCTGGTCCTGGGGCTGTATCGGCGGCCTGTTGTCGCGGGTGCGGCTGCTGCTGATGGCCCAGACGGTGCCAGCAGTATTTCCAAGGGAAGCCAACATGGCAGCCTAATTAACTCTGCTCCCTCGTCCTCCCCTTCCTCTCTTGTTCTCCTCCTTTCATATGATATCCTCCTCCTCCTCCTCCTTCTCCTCCTCCTCCTCCTCCTCCTCCTCCTCCTGCCTTGTAATGCTTCTTGTCGGGGAGCGTTGGACAATGACGAGGGTCGGACAGAGGCGGTAGGGACGAGAGATCGGAGAGCGAGGACGAGGTGAACATCGAGGTCTCGGAACACATCTAGATCCGCAGCCACGCGGTCCAGACTCCCCGGCCGCGACCCCGTGGACCGGGCGGCGTTGCGCGGATGCCCCACGCGGAACGTGCCCCGCGGGTTGGCGCGTCAATGAGGTCGCGCCTCGATGCTCAGACTGCGGGGGCATGGGCATGGATCATGGATCTGCCATGCGCCCTTCGCTCGCGAGAATAAGCATGATCCCGGCTTTTTCTGGTTGGAAACAGAGCCGAGACCGTGGGACGAAGATATCGCCGACGGGCGCCGCTTGCGAGCACTACCGCACCGCTGTGCGCGATATTGGCGGGCTCGAGCCGGCCCAATTCTTGAAAACGCAGGGGCGCGGCCTACCGCGCGGCTCGAACGTGCAGGGACGAGCCTCTGGCATTAGGTCGGGCATGTCCTCCTACAGGCGGATTTTGGGCGAAAATTATTACGACCCAGAAAAGAAGAATAACTATTCGAACATTGTCGGAAAATATCGTCCCCATACGATCTTTTTGGCTATTTTTGGATACTCTTCCTGTAGCGAGGCACGCCCGACGGAACTCTGGCGCCTGCCCGCCTCCACATGCAGGGCACGGGTCCTGGAGGGAGCGGGGTCCTGGAACCCTGTCGCCGTCGCTGCCCCCCGGGGCCCTCCGCGGGCCTCGGGACCCTCACAGAACCGACTGAGGATACGTGGCTGGTCCTGGGGGAACGCCCCAGGGTCCCCAGACATGATGGCGTCGTTAAAAAATCCGGACGGGAGGTTTTTCGTTATTGCCGGCCCCGGGGGGCCCTCGCCGGGCCCCAGGACCGTCAAAAAACGACTCGGGATGAAAAGCTGGTCCCGGGGACATCGCATGCCTGGGCCCATGACCCCGTTCCGTCACTGCGAACACACTCTGCACAGACGAAGAGGTGGAAGCATTTAAGAACCCCCCCCCCCCCTCCGGCAAATCGATAACCCTTCCGCACCCTGGAAGCGTTACCTGGCACCAGGAGCCCTCCTTTGTGTCCGGGTGCTACAGCTATCGTTCGGTTATTTCGGCCCCTCGGAATATCGAATAAAAAATGCGGTGCTACGATATCGCCGGGGGGTTCTTAAATGCTTCTGCGCGGGCCGTAGAACTCACTGGTCACGGATGCAGAGTTGGCGACCGCCGCCACCTGGCCAACTCCAGGCAGCCCCCACACGAACCAGCGCCTCGCCCGCGCGGGCTCACGCGGTGGTGCGGGCCTCCTGCAGACGGACCCGGCCGGGCACCTCCCCCCTTCCCTTACGTCGGGCCTGTCCCCCTACAGGGGGATGTTCGACGAAGAAAAAAAAAGACACAAAAAAGCAATCAAAAAATAATCCAAAAATAATACGGGGACTATTTTTTGAATTTGTGTTTGACCTTTTGGGGGTATTTTGGAGGTATTTTTCATTTTTCGTCGAAAATCCCCCTGTAGGGGGACACGCCCAGCATAACCCTTCCCCCACAGGGGGGGGGGCAGGGACGGAGAGGGGGCTGGATGGGGACGAGGGGGTGGAGAGGGAGCCAGGACGGGGACGACGGAGGTGGTGGAGCGGCGAGGGGGAGGGCTCCTGCGCTCCCGAGAGGCCCGCCTCAACGCCCGTGCGCCTCCTGCGCGCGGGGGTGCCTCCGCGGTCCGCGGGCCCCTCTCGGAGCCCCGCGGCCCCGGCGGGCTTGAGTGGCCCCGCGGCCCGGGGGCCCGTGGCTCTGCGGCCCCCGTCTCGGTGCCCCGTGGCGGCTGGTCCGCCCATAGAGCGCGCCACCTCCGACGCCCCGACCTGCCTTGAAGCAGGGCTGGGATCGGGATAGATCGCTCCGGAGCGTTCCGGAGCGCTCCCAGAGCGTCCCGGAGCGCTCTGGAGCGGCCGCGGCGCCCAATCTACAGCCTCCCAACCCGCCGATTCTCAGAGATTTCGAGTTATATCCCGATCCGACTTTGTCCCGATCTTCGCGTCGTTTTGGCGGGGGCCGCCCGGCCCGGCCTGGCTCTCTCTCGGGGATGGACAGACCTCCCTTTAGTAAAACGTGGTTTAGTGAAAACGACCTGAGGCCCAAACCTGGCGGGCGCAAGCCTGGAAAATGACGGCCACGGCGCCCTCTCGAGAACCGAAAACGGACAATTGACTAATCGACGTGTCACTGTTGGGGGTTCTGTCCGCCCCCGACTCTCGCTCCGGCCGCGGGGGGGGCCGGTCTCCGGCGGCGGGCCCCGCACAGGGCCCGATCGAGGCGGATCTCGCGGGCGCCCACTCGAGAGGCCGAGCTATCGGAGAGAGGCCGCCGGCCGGCCGCGGAGGCGCCCCCCCCCCGACCGACGCCGGCTCCGCCCTGCTCTGGGGAAGTTCGTAATGCAGGATGACGAGTAATGCAGGATAAGATCGGATTCATTAAAAAATAGCTCCCTGCCATTTCTGCACAGGTTTCTGACTGGAGGAGAACGATCTTTAAAAATAGTTTTCCAGCCCGCGGCCGGTTAACTCCTCTAGTCGTCATCCCGGGCGCCGCCGCGTGAACACGACCCCCGGTCATTTACTAACCGTCATCCTCCATTAAGGAGGGCTTGGAATTTCCGCCTTACTTATCCAGCCCCGCTGATGCCGATGTCCGCCCTGCTTTTTTTCTGTTGCTGCTTCCGCCGCCCACTTCCGTGGAGTTCCGCCCCACTTTTATTATGCTGGGCGCAGAAATGTCCGCCCTACTTGTTCGGCTTCTTCTAGGTGGCTTTCCGACGCAATGGCAAGTTGGAAAAAGCCAAAGTAGAGCGGATCTGGAGTCAGGTCCAGAGGCCCCACAGAGGCCCCATACAGTAGGAGCTCGACCACAAGAAGCATTCCACAAGAAACCCAACGCTGAGGCCGCAGGACGTCCCTGGACTTGTGGTGTCCGAACGACACGCCTTCCATGTAGCAGAACCATCGAAACCCAAGAAATCTCGGGCACTCTGGAGGCAAGCAGGGTGTTTCTTGGCATGGGTGTCGACTGTAGGTCCTGGCTGGGGGCCCCCAGGAAGCCCCCACGATGTCGGAGGCCTGGGCGCAGGAGGGCCAACGCCTGTTCACAGTGGGCCCCCCGACTCTTACCAGGGTCCATCCTGGCCAGTCTATCTAGCCGCGTCCAGCTCTGCTGACGGGAACCTTCAGGAACGCCTGAAAACATCTGAAACAACGTCGTCGTCGTCGTCGTCGTCAACAACGACGGCGTGCCCAGACATCCGATGCTGAGATTCTTGTCGATCCGCGGACCCAGAGCTCTCGACCCCTTCCCCTGGGGTCAATTTGCTGTCCCGGATCCACGCTTGATGGCCCCGGGGCCCGGAAACGGCTCCGGCTAAAACTGAAACAAAAAAATTAGACTCCGCGTTGACAATGAGCGCGTCGTTGGACATCCAGACGACGTTGCCTCGTCGACGGCGACGGCGTCGCCAGGCCCAGGCGAAGTC